TTTGTCAAGGATTACAATAGGATTCCTTTTGTGCAGGATTACAACATGATTCCTTTTGAGGAGGATTACAATAGGACTCCTTTTGAAGAGGATTACACTAGGATTCCTTTTGTAGAGGATTACAATAGGATTCCTTTTGGAGGGGATTACAATAGGATTCCTTTTGTGAGGGATTACAATAGGATTCCTTGTGTAGAGGATTACAATCGGATTCCTTTTGTAGCGGTACTTGGGAGGAACCCAGGAGGAGAAAGAAACAAAGAAATATTGAAAATCAATGAATCCATGAAAAATTGCAGGTTTTCAATGATTTGCAATGGTTTCGCAAAGAAAAAATATGAAAGCACAGCATGTCCAGCTCCAGAGAGGTGGACATGCTGTGTTTTTATAGGTTTCCAATTCGGAAGAGCTTGAAATGCTGTGTTTTCATATTTTTCATTGCACAACCATTGAAAATCATTGTAAACCTGCAATTTTTCCTGGATTCATTTTTTTTTTTTTGTTTTTCTTTCTCCTCCTGGGTTCCTCCCAAGTATCGCTACAAAAGGAATCCTATTGTAATCCTCTACAAAAGGAATCCTATTGTAATCCCTCACAAAAGGAATCCTATTGTAATCCCCCTCAAAAGGAGTCCTATTGTAAACCACTATGCAAAAGGAATCCTATTGTAATCCTGCTCAAAAGGAATCCTATTGTAATCCTGCTCGAAAGGAATCCTATTGTAATCTCAACAAAAAGAATTCGATTGTAATCCTCAAAAGGAAACCTATTGAAAGCCGATACAAAAGGAATCCTATTGAAAGCCGATACAAAGAAATCTTACTGAAACCGTGAAGGCGAGCTGTGTGTAAGTGCTCTGGGAAGCTCTGTTTGAGGACACGGCGATACAACCCTTACGGGTGGGACCCCCCCCCCCCTCGGAAAATCGGACCCCCGGGATCTGGCGCTTTTGGGGCCCCCTGGACGCCTTGCAAGGGGTCCCCCGGGCCTTCCGGGCCTCCTGGACGCCCCTGCCGGGCCTTGCCAGCGGGCCCAAAGCGGTCAGGAGGGCGGCCAAACGGCCCCGCGCGAGAGCCCCACGCGGCCCCAGACAGCCCCAAGACGCCCGAAGACGATCCAAAGAAGACCCTCAAGAGATCCTCCAAGTGCAAAAAGACAACACTTTCCCTTTGTTTTTTTAATTGAATTTTTGGACATTCGGTTCTTCGGTATTCCGTGCGTACGAGTCCGCCGAAGAGGCCCCAAAAATCCTCCCACAACGGTGTCAAAGGGCTTCCAGACAGTCCAAAAGAGCCTCAATATGGTCCAACAGGGCCGCAAGATGGCCCCAAGAGAGCCCCGCTGACAGCCCCAGATGGCCTCAAGACGCCTCCCGAAGCACTCCAAATCGTGACCCTGTCGTTCAGGGAGACCGTGGTTGGTAGCAAGGTGGCCGCAAGAAGCCCCCAGAGGCCCCCAAAAGGCGCCCAGGAGGCCCCCAGAGGTCCCCCAAAAGCTTTTGAGAGGGGCCCAAGAACACCTCCAAAGAGGAGCCCCTGCAATAAAAACTGGGGATGAGGACAAGGAGTGGCTCGCAGACAAGGAAGATTACGAGTAAGAGGAGAGGAAATAGAAGGACAGTGCATAACATTACTATAACGACGATGGCGCAAACGGCAACAATGAATCATCGCTATATTTGGTTATCCTGCATGCCGAGCTTTAAGAACCAAGGTGCATAGCGCGAAGCGCCAATGCAGTCTTGTATATATATATATATATATATATATATATATATATATATATATATATAAAAAAATTACATACATACACATTGTTCGGCATTTTAAATTCTCTGCTGCGACTCCTGGCGCGGGAATTCAATCTGGGACGCACTAACTCGGGTCAATGCAAGCCCGGGTCAGCCAGGCCTTGCAAGATCCTGCAGGGCCCTGCGCCCAAGCCCGGGTCCGTGCACCCCTGGCCCTGCGGGATCCTGCAAGATCTGGCGCTCTGACTGGCCCCCGCTTGCATTGACACCCCTCCTCCTCCTCCTCCTCCTCCTCCTCCTCCTCATCCTCCTCCTCCTCCCCTTCTGCCTCCTCCTCCTCCTCGTCCTCCCCCTCCTCCTCCTCCTCCTCCTCCTCTTCCTCCTCCTCCCCCTCCTCCCCCTCCTCCTCCTCCTTCTCCTCCGCCTCCTCCGCCCCGGTTCACAGAGGCCGTCCATAGGCCGGCGGAGGGCACGGCCAGGGCGCGGCGGGCCATGCACCGCGGTGCCCCGCGGGCTTGGGCCACGCACCCACGGCGCGGCGGCGGCGGCGGGTGCGAGCTGCCGCTGTCGGGCGAGGGCCTCCGCGCCTGGCGGCCGTGCGCGGGCATTGCGGGAGGCAGGCGCCGAGTCGAGCGGCAGCCTGGCAGGGCGCGGGCCCGTGCGGCGGACGGGCCCGCAGGAGGAGCAGGAGCAGGAGGAGGAGGAGCAGGAGCAGGAGCAGGAGCACGAGGAGGAGGAGCAGGAGCAGGAGCACGAGGAGGAGGAGGAGGAGGAGGAGGAGGAGGAGGAGGAGGAAGAGGAGGAGGAGGAGGAGGAGGAGGAGGAAAAAGGGAGGAGGAGGAGGAGGAGGGGGAGGAGGAGGAGGAGGAGGAGGAGGAGGAGGAGGAGGAAGAGGAGGCAGAGGAGGAGGAGGAGGAGGAGGAGCAGGAGGAGGAGGTGGAGGAGGAGAAGGAGGCGGAGGAGGAGGAGGAGGCGGAGACAGAGGAGGACGGCGAAGGGGATGATGATGACGATGACGCCGACGATGATGATGATGCATGCTGCTGCTGCTGCTGATGATGATGATGATGATGCTGATGCTGATGCTGATGCTGATGATGATGATGATGATGATGATGATGATGATGATGATGATGATCAGGATGATGATGCTGCTGATGATGATGCTGATGAATGTGATTATGATGCTAATGATGGCGATTATCACGATTATGCTGTTGATGATGCTTATTATGATGATTATGATGATGCTGCTGCTGATGGTGGTGATGATGATGATGAATCTTGTGATGTCTATGATGGTGTCGATGCTGATGATGATAATGATGGTGATGATGTCGATGATGATGATGACGATGCTGATGCTGGTGATGACGATGACAATTAATGGTGGTGATGATGACGGTGGCGATGAAGATGCTGATGGTTACACTGTTGATGATGATGGTGATGCTGATGGTGAGGACGAGGAGAGGGCGAACAGGGTTATGATGCTGCTGATAATGATGATGCGGATGATTATGATGATGATGATGGTGGTGATGATGATGGTGACGGTGCTGATGTTAAGTATTCTGATGATGATGATGGTGGTGGTGATGATGATGCTGCTGATGCTGATGGTGGTGGTGATGATGATGTCTACTATGACGATGACGATGATGAGGCTGATGATGATGATGGTGGCGGTGATGATAATGATGATGCTAATGATGATGATGCTGACAATTATGATGCCTATGATGATGTCAATGCTGAAGATGATGACGGTGCTGATGTTGATGATCAGTTTGATGATGACGATGATGATGGTGATGATGATGACGACGCTGATGATTCTGAGTCTAATGATAATGCTGGTGGGCATGATGATGATGCTGATGCTGCTGATGATGATGATGATGATGCTGATGAATATGCTTATCATCATGGTGGTGGAGGTGATACTGATGATGCTGAAGATGGTGATGATGATGCTGATTATCATGATGATAAAGATGCTGCCGCTGCTGATGATGATGATGGAAGTGAAGATCCTGATGTCTATGATGATGTCGATGCTGCTGATGATGCTGATGGTGCTGATGTTGATGACGCGGATGATGATGATGGTGATGATGATGATGATGACGATGATGATGGTACTGATGATGAATATGCTGCTGATTATGATTATAATGGTAATGATGGTGGGCATGTTGATGATGCTGATGATGATGCTGATGATGATGCTCATGATGAAAATGATACTTATGATGATGGTGCTGATATTGATGATGAGGATGATGGTGGTGATGATAGTGGTGGTGGTGATGGTGGTGGTGATGATGGTGGCGATGAAGACGATGATGGTATTGTTGATGATGGTAGTGATGATGATGAGGAGGAGTAGGAGAGGGCGAACAGGACTATGATTCTGCTGCTGATGGTGACACTATTAATGATGATGCTGATGCTGATGCTGATGATGATGTTGCTGATGATGTTAATGATAATGGTCATGATGCTGATGATGCTAACGCTGATGCGTGTGATCATGATAATGTTGGTGATAAAGATGATGTTGATGATGGTGATGATGGTGGTGATGATGGATAGGTCGATGCTGATGTTGCTGCGGCTGTCGATGATGATGACGGTGGTGGTGGTGGTGATGCTGCTGATGCTGATGCTGATGCTGATGATGCTGATGCTGATGATGATGATGCTGATGCTGCTGCTGATGATGATGATACTGATGATGGTGATGGTGATGGTGATGGTGATGGTGATGGTGATGATGATGATGATGATGATGATGATGATGATGATGATGATGATGATGATGATGATGATGATGATGATGATGATGATGATGATGAGGGAGAGGAGGGAGAGGAGGGGAAGGAGGATGAGGAGGAGACGACAAGGCGAAGGAAAGGAGGGGCGAGCGGGGTAAGGCCAGGACCCGGGGGGAGCGAGGGGAGGGGGGTACGAGCGGCGATGGGGGGGCAGCATCAGAGGGGGGGGCGGAGGAGAGGGGGTCAAGGCAAACCAGGTGCGCTGGCGCCATATCTGGCATCCCACCCCTCCCCACAACTCGCTGCAAGTAGCCCTCCTCCTACCTCTACCCATATCTGACACCCGACTCCTTCCCCCAAGTCTGATACCTTACCCCTCCCCACTCCATCCCTGGCGCCATGTCTGATATCCTGCCCACAATGCCTTCCCATGGCGCTGGCCTGTTTTCTTAACACGTGGGCGCGTGTTATAGCGGACCTGGTTCGAGCTCCCAGAAAGACCACATCGTTTTACGCGTAACAGTTTTTCATGGACGGATTTCCAAATTGCATTGAGCATTCGGCATGCATGCGAAGGCCAGGAGAAGGGGAGCGGCGTACAGAAGAGGAGGGGAGGAGGAGGAGGCGGAGGCGGAGGAGGGGAAGGAGGAGGAGGAGGAGGAGGAGGAGGAGGAGGAGGAGGAGGAGGAGCGCAAGCATCTGAGTGCGGAGCGTCATCGCGACTACATGCTGATGGCAGCCTGCGCTGCTTTCAGTGGGTTAACGTATACAGAGGATGTGCGAGGATGGGGAGCAGCATGCCGAACCTTGTTGTAAAACTGAGAGCACAGCACCGTGTATGCATGGGCATGGGCATCCTCGCGCTGCAATCGCGTGGTATACAAATGGGGGAGCGCGAGCCCATGACGATCCTCGGATCCTTTGATTCGCCACGAGGAGGAGGAAGAGGAGGAGGAGGAGGAGGAGGAGGAGGAGGATGAATGAGAAAACACTCCACAAGGGCGCGAGTCAGCCGTGGCTTATTCGGGCCTGTGCGTGGGGCTGCGCCGACTGGCCTCCTTAGGCCTGCGGGCAACAAAGGCGACGCCATGGCAGACGCCCCCCTCACGCGACCGAAGGCGATAATGCACGCCAGGAACGCTAGGTGGAGCCGCCATGCCGGGGGCCACATCCGCCAACAACTACGAAGAGCCACAGCGCATTCACCAAGCAGAACAGCACCCCCAAATCCGCAGATCGCGACCGGGCCCGACGCCACGGGCGCGTGCCCCCGACCCACGGGGAGTGCCTCGGGGCCCCTGGGCTCGGCTGGCCTGGGCGACCCGGCTGCCTCAGACTGCAGCGACAGGCACGGCGGCGGCGAGCGAGGGGGGGGGGAGAAAGAAAAAGGCCCTCTCAGAGGGCGGCGGGACTTCTCGGAGGCGCCCACGCCTCCCGAGAAGTCGTTTCCTTCTTGTCTTCGGGGGGGGGGCCTAGGAAACTTCTGAGGAGGCCGGGGGGGGGGGCTCAAGCACCGAGACCTCCGAGAAGGCCCGCCACTTCTCACTCCCCCCCCCCCTCTGGCCATGGCTCGGACGTCCACTCCCTGTGTTTCTTTTCCGGTTTCGTGCGTGGGTTTTTTCGCAGGAGGATCCCGAATGCTCCTTGATACTCCCCGCCGAGAAGAAGTGCACACGCCCGAGCGATACCGAGCCCTCGCTCGCCGCCGAGCGACTTCGGGATGAGCTCGAGAGAAGCGGCCACTCAGCGCTACACCGCCGCCGGCTCGCACCCTTCGTCCCGAGGCTCCTCGGCGCCAGGCTCGGTCCTCGCCCCTGTGCTGCGCTGCCGACAGCGCCACTCCCGATGGGCTCCTCCTCCTCCTCCTCCTCCTCCTCCTCCTCCTCCTCCCGCCCTCCTCCTCCTCCTCCCCCTCCTCGCTCGTGGATCTGGGTCGTGCCAGAGAGCCCGCCGGGCCACAGTCCACAGTCCACCGCTGGCACTCGCGCCCGGCTCTGCTTCGTCACCGCCGCGCGCTCCAGCTTCGGGGCCCCCTCCGCGCGTCTCTGCGCCCGCCGGCCCGGCACCGACACTGCCTGCAGGGCAGGCTCGAACCGGAACGGGCAGTTCCTCACATCGGCCTCAGACAGCGCCACATCGTCTCGCCCGAGTCCCACAAAGAAATCCGCTCACTGGTTTCCTGTCCAATCTACCAGATAACAACCTTTGGCGACTGCCTGGTCATAAGAAAAGTGCGATCCTTGCCACACAGCCTCAGGGCTCTGACCACTGCCTTTGAGCATGTTCAGTTTCCTCCACAGCCCAGCGTGCTTCGCCTTAGGCCCTCCTGCTTCCGACGACCTTGGGCGGCTTCGTCTGCGATAGACTTGTGGTTGGTCATGGTCGTAGGGAGGAGGAGGAGGAGGAGGAAGAGGAGGAGGAGGAGGAGGAGGAGGAGGAGGAGGAGGAGGAGGAGGAGGAGGAGGAGGAGGAGGAGGAGGAGGATAGGAGGAGGAGGAGAAGGAGGAGGAGAAGGAGGAGGAGGAGGAGGAGGAAGGAGGACGAGGACGAGGGACGAACAGCAGCAGCAAGAACTGGAATGATATGAGCGGTAGGACCAGGGGAATGCGGAGGAGGGGACAAGAGGGGGGCGGCAACGCCGAGGAAGGACTCGGCTCCAGAGAGGTTGCCCGCGCTTGGGCGAGAGCGCCAGTCTGAACGACGGGAGCCAAACGGGGACTCCTCCTCCTCTTCCTCCTCCTTCCTCCCTCCTCCTCCTCCTCCTCCTCCCTCCTCCTCCCTCCTCCTCTCTCCTCTAAACGAGGCCAACGCTACAGCGGAAACACTAACGGGAAGGACCGAAGCGGTCCGCTAGGAACAGGTACTTCAAGAAATGTACCACCTGTTTGTTGAAAGCCTTTCTGTGTAAAAGACAGAAGGTGCGGAGCGGGCGGCATGCTCTCGACATGTTGGCGGGGGAGAGCGGGGAGA